AACTCTTGTAGAATATTGCGATGGACAGTTATGCTCAAGTGAGGCGTGGTTGCGTAAGAAGATGTAGTTTAATTAATAAAAATAGGAAATGTGTGATCAGAAAAAAAGGCTTAATGTTCCTTTTGGATTAGTTTTGAAACGTGCTTTGAGTTCTAAGGAGTAAGCAAAAATGAAGAAGAAAAAGAAAAAGTAAGAAATATCTTTTGGCTTTTTTGAGGCATCGCATTTACTTGATGATCAGGAAAAGGTGGTAAGAAGCGATGCAATCTGACTGAGAAGCAGGAAGAATAAATTTTAACACGTGCTTCCCTCAAAGTTTAGCAGCATGAAAAAAAAAAGAAAAAAAAAGAAAGAATTCCACGTGATAACTGACAGAAAGGTGTGTTAGAAGGAAAGAACGAAACCAAAGTTGTGCTGTGAAGATGCTCAAGAAGTACGAGATGGATAGTAAAATTACGGAAGATGTATGGGACGCGTGTAATCGAATCATACATAATAGGATAAAAGAGATGGATATTCAAATTCCTGATTTAGCAATTTCGAAAAATTGCTTTTGACAGTTATTGATTATATACAGTCATCCTTGTATTGTGATCCTGTTTTCCGAAGTATTATAAGGAGATTGTTCGGAACTGATACTTAGCGTAATAGAGAAAATTTGTTGTACTCTATGAACGATATCGAACTATGTGAAAGACTGAAAGAGACGGTGTTCAGGAAAGAATACATAAATTCATTTGCAATCTAACTCTCAGTACCCAGCGATGTGTTATCCTTCTGTATTATAAAATTTATTTTGTTTCTTGATTGTGTGGAACCTTGAAGTCTGCAGTCGTAAGTACCCTTCAGCTTCTCTTAGATGTAGAGAGATTGTGTAAATCTGAATTTTAATTGAAAGGTAAATATTTATTAAGAGTTTAGGATATAGTTCTCATTCGTATGTTTATTGTTACTTTAATATATTAATGTGGTACTTAGGGAATTGTATAAAAAATTGATAATTTTGTAGCTAGGATTATGTGTTTCTTTAGGATTTTGTTTTCTGTCTAAGAAGGTATAGGTAAGGAATTGTAAACAGAAATATGTAAATCAAACCTTAGGTTAGTTACTTCCGGTTGTGTTTGTACTAATGTTGTCAAAATGTTTATTAGGGAGAAAGATTAAAATTTTGAAGTTTATCGCATTTTCTTATATGAATATATCCTACCAAAATCTTTGACAGAACAAGTGTACTGTGCTATTGCGAAGCAAATATTTACAGAAAAAGCAAGGTATAACTATTTAAAAAGAGTCTATGTTATTGCATATAGTATTCATAATTAGAGTATTATGTACCCATCTTTATAATGAGAATATTATGTACCCACCTCATATGATACCATTATGTATCCATTCATAATTAGAGTATTATGTACCCATCTCATATGATACCATTATGTATACATTTATAATTAGAGTATTATGTACCCATCTTATATGATACCACTATGTATCCATTCATAATTAGAGTATTATGTCGGCGATTCAGTGTTTCACGTGTGAGATATAACAACTGTTAAGAGCTTTAAAATAACATTATAGCAATTATATAAAACTCATAAACTGTCAATGTTGCGTACTCAATAATTAGATATCATCCTATAATATAGTTAAACTAACAAAATTCTATTTTGCATATCTCTTGTTCTCAACATAAGTCATTTGGTGTTGTGCAGTATCACTAAGTGTACTGCGCGTGTGACTAAAACCATTTTATTTTATGCTTCTTTAGAATTTCTTCTTTAGAATTAACAGTTGTTTTAAACTGTGCTAAACACATAAAAGCGGACACTATTTCGTTGCTTGTAACCTGACTTCCAAAATGTTTCGAGGGACGCAGTTTGAGAAACGCCTTGCTAAATAATGTAATATATCATATAACAACAAACATTGCAGGTAATATTGATCTGCGTAAAATTTGCGAATTCATTACATATTTTGTTAATATATGTGTAAAGACATTAGGTATTTTTTGCAACACCTTCGCCGGGAATCGAACCTCGGACCTCTCAATTACGCGCTGAGCGTGCAGACCACTAAACCACGAAGGCTCGTTAAGAAGGCAGGTACCTTATATATGTCTTCACAGTGTAGTAGTGTATAAAATAATCGCTTGCATAGTATTATTTGCATTGGAGGTTAATAAGTGAAGATAACTATTTTATTATCATGTATCTGACTGCATTTTCGAATCAATGCGCTTGCGGTGCTTCAGTTTCTTCAGCAGACGTCTCACATTACAATCAGGACTGTCCACTCACTTCTCCCATTACAGCCTCCTTTCCTCAGCTCCAGGGATCACATAGACTCAAAGACCTTCTTTAAGATTACTACGGACAGCGGGTCTTCAAAACCATCATAGAATCTGTCTATTCTAAGAGAAATATAATCATAGCAGATGATCAAGCATAGGCACCTGACGAAATGCAAAGGCAGCAAGCCTCTTCATGTATATATGGAAATATCTCTAAACTAACTAAACTGTTATCTAGTTTTATACTAACATACCCAAAACATTGTAAGTTGGAGCACCCAACAGCAAAAGTACTACACTAATGTTAAATCTGTTTATTAATAATAAGGTTGAAAAGATAAACAACTGAAAAAAAGGTTGCTGGTGCAACGATCAAGATAAGTGTAGTGCCCACTGAGAGGTGAAGCAGGCGGAATAATAATAAATAATAATCTCCACGTTTTTTCTGTTTTGGTATTTTCAGAAATCCCTAACCACACGGCGTATTAAGCCTTCGAGTTCTTGTCAGTTGAATATATTCTCTGTGTATATAGTGTATATAGCGTATATGTAGGAACTGAGAAATTTGTACTGTTCCTTGTACAAAGCTTGGTGCTAAAGTTTGTACAACCAACCGCAAACTTGCAGTCCTTGCCACGATGGATTCCATGGGCTTGTTCTGTTGTTACTCAAACATTAAAGGTCATTAATAAGACTTTTGGCATAGCCAGAAGAACTGTCACTAGATGGCAGTGCCATAAAAAAAAAAAAAAAAAAAAAAAAAAAAAAAAAAAAAAAAGATAGAGCTTCCATCTATTGGTCGAAGTATTTTTAGACCCTTTTTTCTAAAATTGTTTCTCTTTCTCCGTTACATGTCTTAGCTGATATCCTTTTTCTCCCCTACAGGCGAGCGTTTGAATGTAATAAGTGTGCTTCTCAATGCGAATAGAAGTTTCCGAATTTTTAGGAAAAACAAGAAATATAGAATGAAAACGACTCTAATTAAATGAGTGTTTGTGAATATTCTAAATATAGTATAAAGTCATGTGCTCATAATATTGCCATGTGCAATTATACATTTGTGCAACTGAAGCTTAATATACTGACCCTGAAAAAGTGAAAAAATAGAATATACAAACAGCACATAGCTGAATGAAAAACAATATCCTATACAAGCTTTTATAATGTATTTACGTCTGTTAAGACAGGCCTTCTTTTGGTACATCTCGATGCCAACGATGTTAGTCCGTAGGGATTTACTCTCAGGCTACAAAATATATATAAATTCTTCGACAAAATTTAAATAAGTGAATTAACACTTTCAGAATGGATCAGATATCTTGACGACAGGGAAATTAAGAAGTGAAACTCTTTTGTGTAATTCCTCCCGCCTCCCATTTTATATATAAATTTTACCTTCTAAAAAACAAGAGAATAAAATTGCTGCATGTACCGATCGCATCTGTTGGAGGACTGAAAGAAGAACATTTATGTAATTAATAAGCGTATGTGTATAGATGGGATAATATTATTCTTAGTTACTATGTACTATTTTTTTTTCTTTTTCACACTCTGCAGTTTGAAGCATCTACTAAAATACGAGTAAAAACACAATTTCTTCTTAATTTACTTAATATAAGCCAGGGGGTTCTCATTATTGGTTAATAAATGTTTAAAGAAATTAAACAAACAGAAAATTGTAAAATGTATGGTCGTGTTCACAACATTATATTATAATAAATATCAAGAATTGGTTTGCAGGCAGAAAGACACTGAGGTTGTCATATGTGATAATAGATGGATGTCCATTCCAAACACGATTTAAAGTTTCGTTTGAACACCTTCTAGAGATTGTATCTCCAGGGAGAATTGATTTTATCGTCTGCCTGTTTCATTTTCCAGTTTATCGTCATAGGGAGGGAGAATAAGTGGCCTTGGCTAGAGAATATAAGTGGCCTAGGATTATGAGAGGTTAAATCAACTGCCCTGAAATGTGCATGCAAAGACTTTCAAGCCAAGAAATATCAAAAACTGGTCATTCACGTGGAAGAGATCATGTTCTAAATTCATTACGTAATTAATCATCATACTGAGTAAAAGTCTAAAAAAAGTTTCTAAATTTCCTAACTCACACAGCAATAAAGAACAGAAACAAATACGAGAGCATGAAACGCTCAAGAAAATATAATAATTAAACAAATACACAACATGTATTTAAAGAGCGAATACGATTTTTTATCGCATTAGATGCTCAAAGTATACATCCTTCTCCTGGAGACTCAGTTCGTTGATTTTGTACTGTTTATAACAAAGATATGAGGAGATCTCTATTAAACTGTTGTTTTTTATCATAATGCTTGTTCCATAAAGCCCATATAATTAGTGGTTTGATTTTATAGAATTTTGTAGCTTTTACATTCTCTTAAATTGGGTGCAATAGAATTAAGCGAAACATAATTTACGATAAAATGCACTTCTTTGCTGCGCCATCAATTGATGAGTTGATATTGACACCTTTTGAAGAAAGGTTATACTCTTCATTAGCTGTTTGACTGAATTTCAGCCTTTTCTACTCTTCATTAGCTGTTTGACTGAGTAGCTGTTTGACTGTAGTGTCAACATCGTTTTAAAAAATTAAAAAGTAGGTTAACCTTCTGAGAAATCCCATAGTTCCATTTTATTAAAAGACTAATACATTATTCTCTTTTCTTCCCATCTGGAAAAGCAGCACCAGACCAAAAACCTTTCGAATGCAAACCACCAAAGGCAGCAGAAGGAGATGTGGACTGTCAGAACAACATGTTACTTTTAAGAGCCATGGGATCGTAAGTATACTGCATTTTCATTTCCATCCATTTCTATAAGATTATTTTAAAATTTAATAGTAGGTTAAATTTTTAAGACTGAATATCTTACATGTACACATAAAAAAGAACTAGTAAAACCAGAAAATTTCTGAGGTTTTTCTTTTGAAAGCGATGCAATCACTTGAGAATAACATGAAGGTTTGCAAGGATGATCAACTTGGCCATAGTTTGGCCGAACTGATGTTTATTTCGTCGTGATTAATCGGTTCACCTCAAATATACCAATTGTTAAGCTTAGGGATAATAGTGTGAACTCTTTTTTATAACTTTATTGTTTCGCAGTCACGTGACGTAGAGTCATCAATCGGCTTTTAGGCTTAATTCAGGACTACGCCATACCGTGACCGAGGGATGAAGCCTGTACTTATGCCACTTGTAATTAACATCATAGTGTGAAAAGCATACTCAAAGTCATAGGAACTTGACATTTTCGCTTGAATTTATTAGTGAGTACTTAACCAACCTTGCGATCGTAAATTTATTTTTCATCCTCCTCGTATGTTTTCAGTATCGCTTCTGTATGCACAGTCTAAAGCATGAATAAAAAAGCCTGACAGTAGTACTTCACTTTTAGAATTTTCATTAGAAAGAATAATTCATTCAACATCATTTTTAGAATTTTCATTAGAAATTATAAGTTATTCATTCTTTAGTTCCGATGCTATTATTGCACCGGCATTTGATTCTCAGCAAATGCGACATTCAAAAATTAAAAAATTTATATGAATAGTTTTTAATGCAAATATTTGTATTAATTTTGATTTTTGTATTAATTTAAGTCGGAATAAAAATCCAGACAACCAATGACACATAACAGTAGATAAAATTATTACTAACCATGGTAAAAAACTAACTCATGAATGATCAATATTTGCGTGAATTTTTAGAGAAACCAATGCATAAGAGAATCACTATGTGTACGATTTTGTGTACAAAAATAATAATATTCTACATTAGTGCAAGTTCCACTTTTCTGTAAACAATGGAAGTTATACTAATGAGATATTTACTACACGAAACCTGCCGTTATCGATTTGTAGTTAAACTTCAAAAAAATTTTTTTATAAGTAAAAAAGATTAAACGCAAACATGGAAACTACGATTACTTTTGTGCATGGAAACATAATTTCAGAGCAATCCGTAAATATTTACATTTTCCAGTTTGTTTCTTTAAGAATAATGTTTAAATATGTGATTCAGGAAATTTATTGGAGATTAAAGTCATTTCAGTATATGCGTTTGACATAATAAAATGATTCAACTATTTCTTATATGAACTGCACTTAGTAATCTAGGTAGTACACAAATTTTATCGTTTTCACATTTCTGATGCCAGTTTGGAGGAAACCAAAGAAAATCAGAAACTATTTGTTATATAATTGTCATTAAATTTTTTTTTGTACAGACCTAATCTTCCACTTCATCCTTTTATTTAAAAGTAAGCTACAGCGATGCTAAAAAAGTAGTGTACTACAGCATCTGTGATCTTATGTGGATGACAGCAACATGTCTTGCTTTAAAATTAAGCATTCCTGACACACATAAAAAGTACTGATAAGAAATACTCAACACATTGTCATCAAAATTGTTTAATATTTAAGTCTAGTAAGTGTCGTTTCTGTAGAAAGGAAGCTACCAGCTTCTTGAAGAGTAATTAGAGAGTGTTCAAAGAGTTTGTTGAATCTACCAAGGCAATTTTAGGAGAAGCTTTGAGGAATATATTTTCAAGATCCACCAGTCCTGCTCTGTGCGAAAGAGCAGTAGTTTCCAAAGTAAAATCTGAACATATTGTTGCAGCAGTATTTGACGAAGGGTTTTTAAGGATTTAATACCACACTCGAACATACGGAGGTCAAGGAGATATCCAAATAAAATACAGGCCGTGATTATAGACCACACAGCTATGATTATAGATGAGGTGTTCAACAGTTCTCTTTATATGTTTTTTTACTAAAGCTTTAAAAGTTAATTGCTGAGTGATTGAACTATTGCTCTTCTATCTAAATAGAATTTTATACAATCTGCACCCACACCAAAAAAAAAAAAAAAAAAAAAAAAAAAAAAAAAAAAAGGATAGTTTCACTATATCTTCCTTTCTACTCTGCCGATCGACTAAATTTATTTAATTTCCATATATCTAAAGCGTGACTTAGGGTATGTATTAGATTTATATACAGCGTTGTTCTAACATAGGTATTTTTACACAAAATCAGACTTTTCTGAAATGACATACCGAGTTCTTCCCATATTTCGATTTTTCGACTCAAGTTTTGCCTAAATATTAAATTTTGTAAAATTTGATTAGGAATTTACCGAGTAGTTTTGAGAATTTATCTTGGCGCACTTTTTCAGTTGGCGCCAATAATTATTTATTTGTCGAAATTCTTAAATTTTACTAACTATTTTTCCCTTCGCTATCATTGTGCAGGAGCGGAAAAAAGGTTCATTCATCATCATTCTTTCAAATAACTTTAATACATTTGGCGTTATTATCGCTTATAACAAATATGATAAATTTCAGAACTTGCCAATATACAAATTCATGTATATCTTGGGAAATTTTGAGTAAAAAACTAATATTTTGCAAGTGAGCCTGGATATACATCTACTTCGAGGTGATGGTAAAAATGTTATAGATTGTAATTCAAAACGTTTTTTTTTTAATTTACAAAAATTATTAAAAAATAAATCAGGAAATGTGCGAATTTTATTTGGATCAAAAGTTCAAAAGTGTTTTAAGAAAATTTATAAAAATTATTAAAAAATAAAAATTTTAAAACCAAAACAGAAAAGAGCTACGAATTTTATTTGGTTTTGAACCGAAATTTTGAACTGTGTAAGAAGAAATCATGCAAATTTAATAAAAAAGAGATATTTATAACCAAATTCAATTAGCGTTGAAGAGCTACAATTTTGAGAAGTAATTTTTTAAAAACTATTTGTGCAATTTTTACAGTACTTAGCATTTCGGCATAATTTGAGTTGTACAATCGAAATATGGAGAATATTTGTTTGCCATTTTAGAAAAAGGTCAGATTTTGTGTTAGAATACCTCGGTTACAAAAATGTTATATATAAATCTAATACAGTCGCGTTTCCGCTAATTAGAACCGGCTAATTAGAACGTGAGATATAGAACTGTCCCATTTTTCTTTTCTGCAGAGTGTACATATCAGTTTATTTGTGATCTTCTCACTATATGGCTAAAAGTGTGTAAGGATTATGTTAATTTTATTAACAGTTAAATTTTAAGTTAAAGTTCCTCTCCTGTCAAATTCTTAACTTCAACTTACTACTTCCGGCCAGAACGTAGTTTTGGAATCACTCTGAATACATAATGAGGAGGTGTGGTACCTCGAAGTTCTTTGGTCTTAGAGAGAGAGATTCAAAGTTTCTGATTTAAGCGCGTCTGCCTTTTGGCTACTCTCCCTGTCAAAGCTGTTATTACGCTCGGTCGTACTCAGGCCCTTGACAAGCTTCGTAGTCAAGTAGAGTTAAGGGGCCAACTCGATTAGAATCTTGATAGCTTCGGCTGTATCTCTTTAGTTAATCTTAGTTTTAGTTTATTTCTTAGTCTCTTAAGTTCAAGCCCAAGTGTCGGCTTTTATTGTACACTCCAAGACGGAGTTTTGTTAAATCGTATTGGAATAATAAAGGGTTAGTTACCCTTCCATCTTGTTGTTTCTTGTCACACGAACTCAAGCGATTATTCGCTAACTAGCTCTTAAGGTTACTCACTTTTGACTGCAATTACACAGTGGTAAACCTAACATATGACATAGATTCGTGATGTCCAAACTCAGAAACCTTTATATGAAACATTCACCTCACAGTACTGACAACTATTAGATTTCATTTTATTATGCTAGACAACAAGGTTTCTCAGCGATTACGTTCGGCCAGTATTGCGATATACTAGCCATCACAAGGTACTGTAGCTCTAGAATAATCTGAAACGGATCTGAAAATGATCAAAATGAGTGCGTGATTCAGTCGGAATTCTTTTATAGAATGCATATTCTCAGGCTTCTGAATGATACACCAGAAATGAGAATCTTATACAGCCTACTCTTTGAGTTGCTACAAATTAACCCAACATGATCCAAAATTGATTCTAATAGTCTATTAATAATTTCATTGAAGGAAAAGGAAACTAACTCTTAGATGCAAACAAGTGATTCTCCTGCGCTTAACTGGAAATTTCTTAAAGATCGCTTTTGAGCAAATCATTTCATTCATTGAAGATCCCCATTGATGACAAGTGTAAGTTTCATTTAAATAAAACTCACACGCTATTTCAGAATTTGCATTGTATGCTCTTGGGAGAAAATACATGGGAATCAACGAGAGAAATAATGAAGAGACAATTTAATGTAATGCTGAGATATTTGTAATTTGATATTTTGCAAGCTACAAGTAGTTTTTGCCTTTTCAGTTTTGTTTGTTTGTTTCTTTTGTTTCTTTTCTTTTTTTTTGTTTCTTTTTTTTTTTTTTTAAATTTTTTTTTAAGAAAAGCAGATAGTTTTCGTAAGGTAAAAGGTTTTTTAGGATGATTTAAGATTTTATTGAATTGTTTAGCAAAATTTGAGAGGGATTTGTTTCATATACTTGTATATATATGTAATTTCAAGATTTTTATGGATAATACAAAACTAACATTACTCTTATTTAAAATGCCTTTGTATTGCAATAACTGAATTAAATTTTATTTTACAGCAAGCGTTTCCCAATAAAATTTTATAACAACACACTGCATGTTTTTGAAAAATTAATGGAACTGTTAAATATTTTTGGAAGAGCACATAAAAACATAAGTGCTGTATATTGAAAACTCTATTTTTAGTTCACAGTAACTATTCGAAGTTAAACTTTTTCCTAGGTGAAGGCAGTTATAGATTTTCTCTTTTGTCTTGCCCAAAAATTAATACAGCCATCCTGTATAAAGCCTTTTGTAGAGAAAACCGTAGAGGTTTTAATATTAATTAAATGCTGGTTAAGGTATAAAATACTTTATTATTACTACTAGCATTAAAGGAGCAAGAAGCATTAACATACATTTTTCGAGCAGAGCCTAACATTTTGGTAAATTCCTTTTGAATCCGGCTCAGTTTTTGACAGTTCGTATGTCTGAAGCAGCATTCGAGTCACCTCCGGCATTTCGTTTCTAAAGCCTAGAATAAAACGAGAATCTAGTTTGCCTCACCAATGCGTTCTGGCAAATAGCAACAATACTTCAGATGCCAAAGTAAATCTCTCGAAAATGCAACAAGGGAAATTTTTAAAAAATGTTTGCATTAGTTGAATTTCAGAAGTAATACTGATCTGATTTTTGAAATGTCCTAAAAACTGGATGTCTTATATTGTAAGAAAGTTTTTTAATACAATGTGAGGTTTATATATTTATTGTTAACTAATAGTTAATTTTTCGTACTTTCCTATCACTCTCTTTTCACCCACGCTTTTCATGTCAGAATGCAAGTGAGATAGCGAGCGTTTATTCAGATAGAGGTAGAAAAAAGAGCTACTATTTAAGCAAGCGTATCAGTTTTAGTTCGCGTCTGCTTATTCCAGGCGACGCTGTGCCGTGATTATTAGCGATTTGATTCTCTGCCGTTGAGTGCTTTTAGCCATTTGGCTTGTTTCACCTGTTTTTCTTTCTAAAAACCAGAGCCTTTCCTGCACGTTAAAGTATCCTTTAAGCCGTTAGGCTAATCTGTCACAGCTGAAGTTGTTCAACGTTACGTATTTAGGTTAAGCCAGAAGTGCTTGGCCTGTGTAAACTCAAGTTGGGTAACAGTTAATTTTGTGTTCGAATAAAAGGGTCTTATACATCCTTCTTCTGACTTTTGTTTTGTTTCACAAGGTTAGAATACAATTCTTAAATAGTCTTTTTAATGTCTATAATCTCTCTAAGAAGACTGGACTTTATAACTTCCTTTATATTTCATTCTTGGAAGCGTAGAACTGATTAATTGATACGCGTAAATTGTGAAAATATCTGAAGATTATCGCAAGGAATTTCTTCAGCATGAAGTGGATTGCTCAGGGAAATGAAGTCAAAAACTGGAAACACTGAGCAAAGAAAGTAGTGTAAAAGTGTCCATTTTAATACATGGGTTGAGAACTAAAGCAGAAACTGAAGGGAACGAAAGGAATGTTTTCTCTGTTCCTTAAAAAAATATTTTTAATGAAAGCTATGTCTCTATAATGTCATAACCATGCTTAGTTTAATCTTCTTAGAATGTTTCCCGAATATAAATATGCATCTGTACTTTTGCAGTACTTGTGAGTTAGCCGGCAGATACTGATTCACCAAAATAAAAATCATCTCTAAATTCAATTTTTTTTTCAAGTATTCGGGAAGCGTAAAAGTCCCTTATGGACGCGTCTTGGAAGAATGCGATTTTTATTTCTTTGTCTTTTCTTTTTAATGCCTTCTCTGTCTCCCTCCTTTTTTGGAGGCGCGAGTGAGTTAAAGAAGAAGGGAATGGCTTCAGGTTTTGGTTTCAGTGCCAGTTTAAGATCAATTTTAGCAAGTGCCGATCTGTTTTAAATCATTTTATTATCATTTTCACGAAGAAAATTTTCGGGACAACGTTTACATGTCTTATAATTACTTTTACCGCTTCCTGTATCATGCATTATGATTTGCTGAGGAAGGAACAGAAAGCATCCCATTATTTATAGGCTATTTACAGGCATATGGCATTTTCCAAATAATCGTGAGTGTGGTAATTTTGCAGTAATGAAATGATACATAATTGAAGATATGCGGAATGTAATGGAAATATTACGTAGGCAACAGCATGTAACTTGTTAGAATAAAAACTGAGAATAGGTTTCAGAAAAGTCACTTGCCCTCTTATTTAATGAAACTCATATGGAGGTAGAGGAAAACAAAAAGCTTCGATTTTGAATGCCAAACCATATTAATTGGGAAACAAAAAACCTGTTTCACCGATCTGTGGATGTCAAATGTACATTTTAACGTTTAAAGGCCATAGCAGTGTATTCGCAGGTACCGGCCAATACACAACTACCGCATATTACTTTAGCAAAAATTTTACAATGTTTCGATTAGAATCCCAGGAAGTTTCAGGAAGCACCATTTGAGAAGCGCTGCTTTACAGTAAATGTTACTAAATTTGTGAGTCAATTGTTTTCCAAAATATGTAATAATATTGCAGGAGAAGCCCATTCTTCAAGGATGCTCTAGCTGCCACTTGTACGAATATGAAACAACAGGTTTACCAAGACGAAGAGACTGTCATCCAGTTCTTCTCACCTAACGGCGGACTCACAATAAATGCCCAGTGTCCGAATGATGATGATGTTGTAGTGAGTAAGTAAATGTAGCTGATAAGGGAAGCTGGGCTGTTAAAAAATTGAACATAAGTTGTATATGCTATTTTTCAATATTATCTTTGTTTTCTATTGATTGCAGATACTTCGTTAGTGAATTTAGAAACAAGCCACTGAAACTCATATTATCTGTTTATTAAAGACAGGCTTTTCAAACACCAGTAAAGCCACATTATTCGTCATTATTTCCCTTTAAGCACAGGTTTCTGCAACGCTGCAGTTATAAAGCTACATTCTCTATTTCCTAATGAGAGTTTTTCATGATTTATCACACAAACGCGATAAAATTGCATCATGTTTATCTATGAGATTCAAATACTCCATCGAATCAAATAGTTGAATATAATTCAAATACTGCCCCATCAAGTGCGAGTCACGTTTTTTACTCACTGATGCAGGACCGTGAAAATTCGGCTTCAAGCGTGGTTGCGATATTATTTTCATTTCTGCTTTCCGTAAATTGGATTTATATTACAAATTGATATTTTTCTTACTAAACTGGACTTAAAAGCGTAGCATTGTCGTGTAAAAATAATTATAATAATATTAGAAATTTGAATTTTAGTAATTTGATTTAGATAAAGTAAGTAAAGAATCTTAAAATTTATAAATGTTTTCAGAGGAAGGTTCAAGCACAACATTCGTGTTATTCGAGGTTTCACTACCTAAGGGCCGTTCACACTGGGGTTTATCTGAGCTAACAGAGACATCTGGCACAGCCCATACTGTTCCCTGCGCTGGAAAAAAAAAAAAAAAAAAAAAAAAAAAAAAAAAAAAAAAAAAAAAAAAAAAAAAAAAAAAACAGTTTTTTTCAATTAAAAAAATTGAACTTTATAAAACATTCTCCCGTCTTCTTAGCATGCCTTCGTAGTCTAGTGATCTGCACGCAGGGCCCGTATCCCAGAGGTCCGTGGTTCAATTCTCAGAGAGGGCTTGCTAATTTTTCATCTCTCCTACTTCCAAAATACATAATGTCTCTACAGTGGCGCTCGAACTAAAAGGGTAGGGAATGGTGATTCTCCACACCCTAGGATTTGGCGATTAGGGGGACTTGATTTTTCGGTTACCCAATCGCGAAATCCTAGGGGGAGTATATAAAATATTCTCCCACCTTCTTAGCATGCCTTCGTAGTGTAGTGGGTTGCACGCTGGGCGAGTGTCCCAGAGGCCCGTGGTTCGATTCCCTGCGAGGGCGTTGCTCTTTTTTTTCTTTTTTTCTGGTTCCAAAATACCTAATGTCTCTACAACTTGATATATAGTGGAGCTAGTCTACACATGGAACCAACAAGATTAGCTCAAATAAACACCAGGATGAACGATCCTTAGAAGGCTCCCCTATCATACCCAAGTGGAAATGAGTAGAGTTATACCAGAAAGAATAGGTGTTCAGGTTTTTAAGCTAATAAAATTACTCAGCTGACTAAAGGACAAATAATGGCACAAATGCACCTATTTTTAATCCAATTCGCATCAACAAAACTCTTTGAAAGAATTTATGGCCTAAAAATGGAGAAATAAACTCTGTCACAAAAATATATGCACCCAGCAGATATCGAACCACAATCACGAAACTCGGCACGAATGTAGCCTGGAAAGAGATATGCAAATGGTTTAAATTTTGACGCCAAGGAGACAAGCGTAAACATGCTATGCGCATGTATTCATGTGAGATGCATGTGAGATGAGCAGCTGGAAGAGTTTAAAAGCATGCTTGGTCATGCCGTAGAACTATTCAAACGAATCTGTAGACTTGGATGGACGGTATTGTGACTAGAGATGCCTCTGAGACATAGCAGGCGGCAGTACGAACAGTTGTCGGACTTTAAGAAGGGGCGTATAGTAGGTCTCAGAGAAGTGGGTTGGTCAACAAACGTATCGGCCGTGACCTCGGTCAGAACGATATGGTAGTTGCTCGATGGTGGCGACAAAGGTTCACAGAACTGACAGTCTACCGTCGGGGATAATAAAGGCGCCCCAGAAACAGATATGAGCGCGAGGATCGCGCAATCATAAGAGCGCCCCCTTTCTCCCCAACAATGTCGCTAGCATCGATTTGGCGCCATTTTCCAGGCATCCGGTGGTATCAAGGGCAACCATTCGAAGACGACTGGCAGAAGCTAGTATATGTTGCGGACGTTCTTTAAGACTCCTAAAACTGATCCCGCATCATAGGCAGTGTCGACTGGATTTTTGCCGAACTCAGGCAAGCTGGAGTGTGACCGACTGGAGGTGTGTGATCTTCAGCGATTACTGCCGATTCAGTCTCAGTGGTGATGGCCAACGCACACGTGTGTGGAGGCGGTCAGGCCAGCAGTCCGATTCGGAATTTGCTGTCGAGCGGCATACGGAGATTATACAAGGTCTGACAGTGCGGAGAGTGAATTATTGGAACACACTATCACATCTAGGTGTCCTTCAAGGCATTATGAGGGCTCGAAGTTGCCGAAGAAAAGAACAGAAAAAATGCATGGGAACACCTGCATTCTATCGAGAATTCTAGAGAATAAAAATATATATAGTAACACCTAATGCTGTAATTAGAATTCAAAGAATATGATGTTTTTAAATATTTTGTAATTTTGAGTTGAATTTTACGTGACATGAGTGCGGTGAAAGCAATGTTTAATAATAAGGTTAAAAATACAAACAAAGTTGTAACAACAGGAGTGAATCCAATAGCAGAATGGCAAATTGAGAGTTCAGCAAGCATATAAAAGAAACTTTCACAAACTCTCTGATGTGATGCTAAAATTAATGCTTTGATATTAAAAAATTATACAGTACAAAGTCTGTAATCCGGACTCGTCGGGACTTCAGCGATTCCGGATTAGGGGTTTTTCCGAATTATAGATCATCAATTTAAATATGGTAAGGTGGCATGCAGAAATTATACAATTAAAAATATGAAACCGTAATTTATGGAATAAAGAGCAATTATGATCTAAAGGGTATCAAATTTTACAAAAAAAAGCTTAATATTTATTTTTTTACATTATTAAACATTTCTTTAAACGCGCACATGGGTAAAGCATACATTACGCATAGTCGAAATTATAAAATTGCAACCAGAAAACTATTTGATGTGTATTCGTGATATTTATTATGACGAGGAAATTGATTTAAATCATATCAAAGTACATCAATATGAAATACAACACTTAGGAATTATATTATAAGCTAAATAAAATAAAAACATCTGCCCTGAAGATGAGGATAGTGCCGACAGATGAACTTCCAGATCATTGCGCACCGCGACGTTTACCTCTCGCAGAGCAGCGTGAAATTGATAAACAGATTTCCGAATGGTTAGAGAAACAAATCATTAAACCAAGCTGTTCTGATTACGCAAGTAATATCGTGCTTAGTAGAAAAAAATGCTGTTCATTTAGACTATGTCTGAACTTTAACGACACTTAAAACTTGGTGAATATTGAATATTGAATCAATATTCACCAAGTTTTAAGCGTCGAATATTGAATTGCCATGCGTGAAATAGCCAGTCGCGGTTCTGTTTATGATTCATCAATTCTTGATTATGTAATCAATGGGATACCCGATGAGAGTAGTAACAAATTATTTTGTATGGGTGTAAAACTATCTCTGAATTCAAAGAGAAATTAAAAATTTATGAGAAAATCCGCGCTCCAGATACGAAGAATAAGGGTTATTTAAGTACTAACACACAAAATAAAGCACGCGCTATACCTAATAAGAGTAATGCATGCGCATTCTTTAGGCGCATGCGTAAAGCATACAAAAAACGTTTGTGGCTTTGAGGGCCGGATTATAGATCATTCCGGATAATGGACGTCCGGATTACGGACTTTGTACTGTATTAATAGCGAGATAATATATTTTTTAAATTTTATTTTCTGTTTTTATAAGTTAATCATACCAAAAAAAAGGCTGGCTCTGCAAGCGGCTAGTCAGTATTAAGGCATGATTACCTTTCACTCATGCTACATGTTCTATCTTCTTTGCAGAATTTAAAGTTTGCGTCAGAGATTTTCGCATACCGGCTATCACTCTGCACTGCAACCCTGTCAAGGAGAAGGTGAAACTGAAGGAAATTCATAACGTGACCAGCGATGAAACGCAGCACACACTGGCAGACTGCGGAGAAAACGGGGCGATTCAAAAAATGTTCTTCGAAGACACAGGTGGAGAAGCTCGCTCCACGAGAGTTATCTTCACTTGCGTAGGGCTTGAAGTAGAAGATGATGGCTTACCCGTTGGAATGTAATTTATATCGATTTTGAAATAAAAATAACTACTCCCGATTTACTATCTCGGTTAGCTCAAAATCACGGTTAAATCCAACGATCATTAAAAATCACAGTAAAGGCAATAACCAATATATAATTAACGAGAAAACACTTTCCTCTAATATAATTTGCCACCAAAGTAAACTTTTGAAATTAATATAATAGTAATAATTTCAACAGTTTACTTTGGAGAATAAGTTTATTTGGTTACAATAAGAGCACTAACATGATTAGAAGAAATGAAAAACCTTCCAACCTTGATTCTAAATCTTTCTCAAATAATGTATGTACACATGAATCTACTAATCAAGAAAATCATAATGATATAAGAATTAATTGCCAACGTTTTAGAAAATGCCACTAAATAAATAAATTAAAAAGTTGTTAAACGTAGGATGTTTTATTACCAACGGCGAACTATCTAAACTTGATTTCCCAAAGCGAACTTCCTGATGAAATTTTAAAATTTCATGATGAGGTTTTCAAAAGAGGAATACATATTCAAATAGTTAGATTTAGATAGTTTCATTTTGCTATTCACACTGACTCAGAAATAAAAATTTTTAACGCAATACATTTCTTAGGAAAAGCACGTATAGCTATTTTTAGTGCTTACATATTTTCCTGTCGACCATTTTTTGACTAACAAAAACTGTCACCAAAAAGTAGAATTTAATGCCATTAACAGATAAACGTAATAGCACAAAACATTCATTACAGTTTCGCCTTTGTACTCCGACCAAATTTTTATAGGCTATATCTGCACGATATATAAATAAATAAAAAGCGATCTGTTCCTTCTGGCATGACTGAAGCAAGTCTGAGCTGATTTATTTTAGCCTTTTATATGCTGTATAACAATGGTGTCAAACTGGCGGCCTGTAGGTCACATGAGACCTTCAAAACAGTTTCATGCGGTCCACGAATACATTTACCTTAAATGAATCATCAGTTTTTATAACATTAATTATTACGATAACTGTTTAAAGGTTTAATATTTTGATTATTTGGAGTCCAGTTTTTACAGTACTTTTATTACCCCTAAAAATGAATGTGAGTAAACCTCAGAAAATTAATTTCCACTGTGATTTAGATTTTACTTGAAGATTTGATTAATTTCTTTTTCGTGCTTGCCGAAACACTCAGTTATGAAATTTTGTAATAGGTTCGATTTATTTGATTATGGCAAAACGCTTGAAGGCTGTCTAAGGGTAGGATGCCTTCGTGGAAGACTTTCTAAGGGAAACTGCCTGGTATACACATTAAACATTTGGAAAACCACCAAAACGCCCCTTCAGCCAGCCCGTTCGCCGAGATTTCGACACCGGAACGAAATACCAGTGTTCAACGACGGCCGCTAGTAGGTCGCTTTTTGTAATAGCATTAATCACTTTGTTTGAGACTACATCTACATATGAACAGTTCTTTTCCCTAATTGAAGATTAATAAGTCTAAAAAACCATATAAATCAATGAGCATCTGCTTATGTTGAAGATAGTTTGAAGAAGCAAGGTTATAAATTTTATCAAAACCGAAAAGCCATGAGGTGTTGGAACTGAAAGATGAAGTAAGAAACATGAAAATCATAATTATTTACATGCAAATATACAGGGGGCCCACTAAAATCCGATACCACCCGTTTAACTGGCGAACGGCTGCAGCTATACTCATAAAAGTGGTGTCTAGGTGTAGTAAAGTTGCTAAGTGAGACCGCTCACAGCGCCACCTGGTGGAAAAAGGCTGACTTAGTATTCCTATCTCGGAAACGATACGAGACAGGAGGAAATATGAATTACAAAGTTATAGAGCATCGATCAGTTATCATCGATCATCATTATGTTATCATCGATTTAGTATGAAAAAAAACCTCGTGGACATTAATGTTAAGAAAAGAACGCTTTAATTGCGCATTTGATTGCTCGCTATTTCCTACACTGTAACGTGACGAAGGGACCTTAGAAAGAAAAAACAACTAATTATCATAAACTACCTTTATCTCCGATGTTCAAACTTCTCTTCGTCAGCTGAAATGCACATGTGGACCCTTGTTAGAATTTCATGTTGCACACATTGTAACATAGCGGATGATACGTTTGCACAAGCACCTGTAATACGTCGTTGAAGGTCCGGCAATATTTGTGGAGGGGTCACATACACCAGCTCCTTGAGGTACCCCACAGGAAAAGGTTCATTGGAGTCAGATAAAATGAACGTGAAAGCCGCTCTTCGAAACTACCATACCCGATTATTTCTTTCTCCGAATGCCTCCATCAGGTACTGCTTCACTTGTGAAGTGTTGTGCGCAGGCGCTTCGTCATGTTGAAACCAACCATTCCGGAAGTGAAGCAACGGCAGGTTCGCAATAAAATTGGGCATTACGTCTTGCAGAAGTTCTAAATATCATGGGACCGTTAACGCACCCTGGCAAAACATTGGGCCGATTAGCCTGTTATTATAAATTCCACACCAAATATTAATCGAAAACCGTATTTGGTGTCGAACGTCAGCCGAACATAATGGATTTTCCATTGGCCAATTATGGGTATTCTGCCTATTTTACTTTTTATTTCGCAAAAAGCATGCCTCAATCACACTATATCTGCCAGGAATGTTAGTTGGACCTCTGTCTGGTTCATAACGAAGTTGCACCATGATCTCGACATTCCCGTCCAGTAAGGCTGATTAGATGTTGGCCAGTATAAATGAGCACCTAATTCATTTAGGATTTTCCAAAAGCGAAATTTTGAGAGGCCACAAATTTCACTTACCTCTCTTATGCTGCTGTTTGGATATGTGAGGGAGTATGGTAATATATCTTTCAGCTGTACTTTTCGACTTACCCTATGTAAGTAACTTATTATATTAATGCTTAAGTTCCAATAATTTCACTGTTTGTCGAGAAAGCCTTCTGAAATTTTCAGCACAATTTCTGTCTGCAGGTATGTAAAATTTAAAAGGGTCTAGGAGAAAAGAATACAGTGGATTCTGTACTTTCGAAAAGAAAGCTTTGAGTTTAAGCTAATAGCAAAAATCTTGTAGATGAAACAATAAAAAGGGGTGTATTTAATTATGGCAAAGCACACTAGGGCTATCTGCCTAAGAGGAGGGAGGACTTTCTAAAGAAAACTGTCTTGTATACACGTTACAAATGGGAAAAACCACGAAAACACTCATGCAGCCATTTCCGCGGGATTCGAACCTCCGACCGAACTACTAGTATTCAGCGACTTTACCGCTCGGCCGTTGGTGGGCCGACACAATAGAAAGAAACATTTATTTTTAACTAGGCGCTACGGGACCAGCCTTCGTCTGGCTTTTAAATGTACCGAAAAAAAATGCCTAAAGGGAACACCAAACATTGAATTTAAGAACTGCACTGAATTTTACTCTGCATAACAACTTTATCAAAAAACATGTATTACATATAAAAAATTACAATAAAATTAGCAATATCCCTTCATACAAATATTTATTATCTTAATAAATAAATTAACCAACTTCCCGTTGCCTTCTCTCAGCAAACGTCCAGTATCCAAGATAAACATTAAATTTAAAAACTGCATGGAATTATCGTCTTCATTTTTTGGAGTGGCAACAGTGCTGATATCAGCAACAATAACAACAGCGATATATCAGCAACAATGGCTGCGTCCCATTGTTGCTGATATAATGAGAAAGAATTATCGATTTGGTGCATTTTCATCAAAAAATACGAAACAAAACAAATAAAAATCTCATTCGAATTTTGAAAAAAATCGCTTCGAGGTGTATTGGCTCTTGTCTAAATGCACACTATTTACCAAATTTCGTAGCCTTGGGTCTATTAGCTTACGCGCAGTACGAACGAAAGACATACACACGCACAGACAGACAAACTCTTCCTTTTACAGATAATAGATTAAGGAAAGGCAAATTTTCCGTCAAGATATGCCGCAAATTAAGAATTTTTAACTAAGAATTCATTAATTAAGAATTTTTAACTAAGAAATCATTAATTAAGAATTTTTCCCTTCTGATAACTTTGTGTCAAAAAAATTTGAACAAAGTCTTGCCTTGCAAAATCTTGCTGTCTGCACTTAGTTAATTATAACATGTTGATTAGCGCTTTATTTATGTTGCATTATACATATTTACCTCCTATTAAATGAAAACTGTTATCAAATTTTTGTAAATGCTTCTTTTTATGCAAGCTCTTAACAACATTAACTTTCAGTCAAGTTGTTACTATGTTTAAAAATTAAACAGACACTGGATTAAATTTTAATTATAAACTATGTTTGGAAGTATGAATTTATGCAATGTGATTGGGAGATAATTTCAGATTTTACAGCCAGTTACTTGAAATTAGCAAAATTTAAGTAAGGAAATATTTAACTGAAAAATCTGATTGCTGAGGTTTTAAAGGAATGTGAAAATAAAGTCCAAGGGAAATTACAGTTGACGATGTTATAGAAAAAAATCCCTACCAAGTAAGTTAGAAAAACTAGTTCTGAAAATACCCTGAATTCACAGATATTTCTTCAAATAATAAAATAGTGGAGGTTGAACCTCTACGATGTGCCCCAAAGGGGGGTGGACCTGTAGTGTGATTGCGTTCACGGAACGGGGAATGCCCATAATGTTGTTCCCTCAAGTTGTAAAATACTTATTATTTCACATACAAATCCACAAAATTCACAAATTCTAGTTATATCCCGCTCTCCCTACCAATGCCTGAACTGCAAGTAGATTTATATATCCCCTAGGAATGCCATTGGCCAAATGATGCATTTCGAACCACGTAGCTCCGCCCATCAGCCAAAATATCTCATTTTCTATGTGTCTTTGCTCAGTTGACACTTCACCGTTCTGAGGTTAGCAGCGCACCTTCGTTATGCCAATTAATTGCAGCAGCAAATTGCCATTATTTCCACGACATCGTTAAAAGGAGTAACTGAAATATCAAGACTCTACGTATTACGCACGAGAATTTATTTTTTGCATGGCCTATTCTCACGTTATGTTCAAGAAAGATA